CTCAACATCTCTTGAGAAGAAACCTCAACATCTCTTGAGAAGAAACCTCAACATCTCTTGAGAAGAAACCTCAACATCTCTTGAGAAGAAATCTCAACATCTCTTGAGAAGAAACCTCAACATCTCTTGAGAAGAAATCTCAACATCTCTGGGGTAAACGGAATTTTATGTAAGATGGATTAACAAATATCTTAATTTTATCAAAAGTTTAAATTTAACTGTTTTGTTGATTTCTTAATTTTAAAAGCTATCATGAATGTCTTAAGATTACAATTATAAAATCTTAATTTTTGTCAGGGGACTAGAATTAAAACCATTTATCTATAAAACTTTACACACATTTTCATGATAATGAACAAATATCAATAATGTTAATCAGACTTAATTACTAGTTCATTTATAATCAAAGAATGTTTCGTTTGAGACTATTTAATTGCCATAATTGATTATTATACAACGTTGGTACCTAACAAATGTAAAACTTTATGAAAAATCAAAATTCCCCTCAGTATCGCATAAATCTCCAGTTTAAAAACTCCTGTGTCAAAGAGCCAAATATTTAAAATGAAATTAAACTCTCAAATTCTTGATCTTATCCCAAAAATTTTAAGTCTAAATTTGTAAATATTTTTGAATTGAGTTGAGAATTGGAAAGGTAAAATCTGAATCTTGTATAAGAGATTTATATGGTAGATACCAGACATTTTTCGGGGCCCCTTGGAAGCCAAAAACCCTTGACCTTTTGCGTTATCTCGATTGGGATATTTTTGTCTATTTACGAATGGGAGGGGATGGTGTTTTCCAACCCCCCCCCCCACTTTTGATGTTACCATGAGAGTTTATATAAGGGAGTGTAATACATTTTTTCAAGGCCAGCTTATTGAAAAACTATGAGACCTCTAACTTTAATGGTTAGGGTGCAAGGGAGGATTTTTAAAAAGTCCAAAAAGTTCGTCGGAAAAATGTTGAAAACAGCTTTTTTACTTTTGACATAAAGCTTATCAAATGTGACACATGTTACAACATCCATTTTTCAAGGGCTTTTCAAATGAATAAATTTTAGACCTATAGCTTTAGCCTAATTAATAAAAGAGTTGCTGAAAATTTTGAATTTTTGAAACAGCAACCCACCGTTTTACCGTCATTCGCCCTACCCTAAGCAAATACAAATTTTAGCAACTATGAAGTTAAAAAAGGTAAGTAGTTTGTTTTCAAGTTGAAACAAAAAATCCACAGATCTCGTGATAGTGTTAAAAACAGGTAAAATATGAAATTTTCAAATATTCTTGTTGAAACCTGTCAAATTACCTCTTCTTCTTTCTTTTGATAATCTTTCTGTCTAATTTGTTTTGCAACCAATGCCGCCATGATATTTGTTTACATTATTCTCTTGAGTACAAGTTGTGTTTATGTGTTTACATTATTCTCTTGAGTACAAGTTGTGTTTATGTGTTTAATTTAAGTTATAATACAGTGAATGATATATATCCTCTCATTATTCAATAAAAATGGATGAATAGCTGGAGGATGAATGGCTAAACTGCAAAATTACATATTAGGATGAATAGTCAAAGGGTGAATAGTGAATACAGTAGGATGGATTGTATAATGAATATTCATATGTATGAGTATTAATTCAGTGTATTGTATGTTTTGAATTATGAATATTTTAA